AACCTGTTTCCAGAGCAAGAACAGAGACACAGACGTAGAGAATGGACATTTGGAAGCAGCAGGGGAAGGGGAGGGTGGGAAGAACGGAGAGAGCAGCATTGATATATACACACTATCACGTATACAACAGATAGCTAACAGGAGGCTCGGCTTGGTGCTCTGTGATAATCTTGATGAGAGGGATGGGGGAAGATGGGATGGAGGCCCAAGAGAAAGGGGATATATGTACACATATAGCTGATTCACTTCAATGTACAGTAAAAACTACCACAACATTGTAAAGCAATTATACTCTAATTTTTGCTAAAAAAAAAAAAACAGTCAATTTATTCCTCCAATGCACCATGTATGTTTCACAACCCCATGTATCTGCATGTATAGCTCACTTTGCCTAGTTGGCCCTTGGTTCTCTTTTCCAGCTAATGAATTCCTTCTCACTTCCCAAACCCCCAGATTGAATGCTATGCCCTTTATCTAGCTCTTCCTTATTCCCCAGGTACTTTTAACATTCTTTTAGCATTGAATTTTTCATATTGCATCAGTTATTTATTTTTATGCATCTATCTTCTGAGACATTGAACTCACAGAGACCAGGACATTTTCTTATTTATCTTGATGTTGCTAGCATAGTGCCCAGCATCCAGTAGGAGATTGATAGATTTTTTTATAAGGAAAAGGGAAGCTGCAATTTAAATAATTAGGAAAATTCTCATAATAAAAGTCATTAATGGAGAGAAGATTTTGGATAATTTTGAATGTCTACCAAAGCCTTCCACTTCCCAGTAAGGCGTGTCCAAGTTTCTCAGCAGAAGAAAAAGGAATATTTATTTTAAAACTCTGTAATAACCTGTGTGTGGTTTAAAAAAGGAAAAGGAAAGGTAAATATCCTAACACTACAGGGGATGACACTGCTTCACACACGTCAGAGTGCTGACTGAAGACAGGAGCCATGAAGACAGGTTTTGTCACTGAATAAAGGGCATCAGGTTAAACAGCATAAAAAAAGAAGTCTTCAGATGAAGATGTGAGTGATAGCAGAAATAGCCTCATACGATTTCCAAGAGGCAGAGAAAATAACAGCAGCAGCAACAGGAAATGACAAAGGGACCAAATCAAGAGAGACCCGAGAATGACAGTGTGTTTTTCGTGGCCACAACATGGACAGGAAACACTGGGAGCTGCGTTTCCATGGCTTCCCCACTCTTTCATCAGTAAACAAAATTAAGAGTCAAGTATAGGGAGAAAACTGGGGCTTTGAAACAAAGTAGACCTGAAGTGAAATCCTGGCTCTACCAGTTACTATGTGTAAGAATGAGGAACTTTCCTGGTGGTCCAGTGGCTAAGACTCCACACTCTCAATGCAGGGGCCCTGAGTTCAAACCTTGGTCAGAGAACTAGATCCTACATGCTGCAACTAAGAGTTCGCGTGCCACAACTAAAGATTCCGCGTGCTGCAATGAAGATCCAAGAGCCCCAGCACTGCCAAATAAATAAATAAATATTAAAAAAAAAAATAATGAACCTCAGGAACATCTATAGCCTGGGCCTTCTAAGAGATGCCATTTCTGAGAAATTGACCTTTTAGTCACTGGTTCCACAGCAAGCACTAAATGTGGAGGCGTTATTTTGTACCAGTAACTTGCAGATGGTCAGATGGATTTACAAAAAAAGCAAAGCTCATCTGGCAGAATCATCACACTGCGTAGCACGTACGAGCTGCACCTGTACCTTCATCTGGGAGGGCAGTGTGTTGCCTCCTGCTTTGTGTAATTGGTACCATAAGCTTCCACATCCTTTGTGATGAAAGGAACTTCACATCCTTTCACTTATGTTTGGTGTCTCTCCATCAATCATTTCAGTACACTGTGATTGCACTATTGTGACAACCACATATTATCTATATGACCCTTGACAAATTACTTAAATTTCTAAGTCCCAGTCCCTCATCTGTAGTACCTGTCATGTAGTAGAAATTTGACAAATGATTGCAATGAAATAGCAAAGAGATTTTTTTTTCCATTTATTTTTATTAGTTGGAGGCTAATTACTTTACAACATTGCAGTGGTTTTTGTCATACATTGAAATGAATTAGCCATGGATTTACATGTATTCCCCATCCCGGTCCCCCCTCCCACCTCCCTCTCCACCAAAAAAAAAAGATGTTGAAGCTGGGAAATTAAAAAAAAAAATCTCGAGAGATTTTTTTTTTTAATTTCCCAGCTTCAACATCTTTTACCTTTGTTTCATTCCTTCTTACTTCTTGTATTTAATCAGTCACCAAGACACATCAATTTATCTTTCAAGATATTTACTATATGAGCCTTCCATAGGTTTATAAAACACTATGTACAACATCCCTTACTCTCTTGGAAATTTACAATACATATTACTATATAAAGACTAATAATTCCTAAAGAAAAAAACTTTACTCAATATTTGCCCAATGAAATTACCTCTGGAACTGTTTTTGTTTTTCAAATTGAATTATTTTGACACCCCTAGCTCTTCTGTTACCAACCAAGATGAAACCATAAACCATGAAAAGTTTTTACCTTGGAAAAGATTCAGGATGAATGAAGGTGGTTTTCTACTTTACTTTAAAATGATAAATAAGGATACCAACATTGATGTTGGTGGGATAGTAACAATACAGTCCTAAATGATTTTGTTTCTTGAAATTTGATTAGTTTTATCCTGATTTAAATTATAAAAACATAGTCAAAGTTTATACTTTTATTTACTCTATTTTGTTTTAAAAATCTATCTTTGTACAATACAATTATCTCTTACTACCAGAGCCATTCTTGCTTTTCTTACCAAACAAAGCTAAATTCCAGAATTTTAGATCTAGGAAGGAATTCCAACCAAAGATCTTAACCCAAGCCTTTTGGTCACCAAGACAGATACAGTTCTGTGCCTTCATGTTTACTTTCTCACTCCACTGTGTGTGGAAAATCAATACAAGCCTAGGGAAAGCCAAGATAGGATATTGTCTTTATGTGGCTGCATGTTAAAAATAGAGCAGTTCTAAAAGTAGATATTACATGTAGTAAAGTAGATATTACGTGTAGAAAAGTCTAACAAGCCCACAACAGAAATGAAGGTTGTTAACTACTCAGAGATTTGGGAGAAAAGTCCAAGGTGAAAGAGAGAGTAAAGTGGCAGCTAACTATAGATTAAGGGTAAGTATATTTACAGGAAAAGTTAAATAGTCATAGTTTTATATAAAATTAAGAATTGGTTTTTGCTTTGGTTCTGATCAACATTAGCTTATAATTAGGAAGTTTTAACTGTTATTTTAGCTAAGTTGGTCTTTCCAAATGTTTTACCTTATTGTATAACTATTTTAAATATCTCACTAAAAAAAGACAATACAACAGAAGTAAAAAAGCAAAATTCATTCAGTTGGCACTAACAAAGAACGACTGGATATGATTTTTCTTCCAGAAGAACAAAGGTTGAATATTGACCCCAGAGAAGCAAAGTACACAAATCTACATGTGGTACTTACATATTTCACACAGTGATTTTCATCTCATACATTTTTGGGTGATTCACTCATATAAAAAACTTTTATTGATATATTCTTTATGAGATATACTATTTGCGGGGGATACATGTTCTTAATAAACATGTGGAGAACCTCAGTTTAACAGTAACTTTGGCCAACAGAAAAAGTTGGTTAAAGCAGGGAATCATAAAAAAAAATGCATACATACCTTAAATATTTTGTTCTAACTCAAAACATATAAATGAATATTCATTTGCCAATCTATTGATGTTGGGCCAAGATTTTTTTAAGTACAAATCCATTCTTTTTTCCCCCGAATGAATCATAATCAAAACGCATCATCTAAGATTTCCATTTTTGCTTTTTAAAATGAAAACTTAAATATATTTGAGAAACAATATAAGTATATAACTTTCCTAAGTGTATACATCTTCCAGCATTTTATAGCTGTCTTGGTTACAATTATTTTGGCAGCAACTTTTTAGCATCAGTTTTTATAGATTCTTTCAAAAACAACAGTTGTTTGTTTCACCTTCTTATGCCATTAGTTCCTTTAATCTCTAATTAAATGTTATAATTCCAAAAGAAAATAAAGCTGAGAAAGGCTGATCTTCAAAGATACTGTCCGAGTTGACTTGTAGACTGGCATTATAGAGCAGACACCAGATCCTGTCCAGTGTCTACAAACCCTTTACGGAAATAGGACATCCATCCCATGCTTTATGTTTTTTTTTCCTTCTAACTGTAAAATTTCTGGTACACTGGTGAGTATTTAATAAATAACTGTTGACTGAATGAGGGCACACAAGTAATTATCCAATCTTTACCGTACATGCCTGAAGCTGTGTGTCTGCAGCTAATCCTTTTAGGAGGCAACATGATTTGTGGCTCAGCTGATAAAGAATCGCCTGCAATGAGGGAGACCTGGGTTCGATCCCTGGGTTGGGAAGATCCCCTGGAGGAGGGCATGGCAACCCACTCCAGTATTCTGGCTTGGAGAATTCCATGGACTGTACAGTCCATGGAGTCACAAAGAGCCAGACACAGCTAAGCAACTTTCATTTTCATTTTTCATGATACACTGAAAAGAGTATGAATAATGTGGTTAAACAGAACAACATGTGGATGCCAAGCATGTGTGACTTCTGGTGAGGTATTTCACCTCGGTCTCACCTTTATAAGAGAGCTAAAAATCCACCCTTGGGGAGTTATTATGAAGATTGACCAACAGAGCATATTGAAAGCGTGTCACAGGTCAGTTGTCCCAGAGGAAGACTCGGAGATGGAGTTAGACTCTAGAACATATATTAGAGAGTGCTTTTAGGATCAGCATCTGGGGAGGGAGGATAAAAAAAGGAATGGGCAAAGGGAAGTTTGAGCTTTGATGCAGACCTGACAACAGCTCCAGCTGACCCCACGGGGAGCTTTAGAGCTAAAGTGAGCCATTGGAATTTCCCCAGGTAAGGAGAAAATGGCTGGATTTTATACCTGATGCTTGATCACGAGGGTGACCTTAAGGTGACTCTGTGCAGCTGAGGAAACCCTGGAGGGCTGCATGTGACCAGCTCTCCCAGGGGATGGGCAACAGACTCTCATTTGAAGCTGATCTAGGCATCCATTCTCCATATTCATCAAAAGGCCTGACCAATGATATTAGCAAACAAAAGGTAGTTCCTTTCCTTCCTATCAGCAGTCCCCTTTCAGTTTAGATAGAGTCCTCATTCTCTCCAAGTCACAATCCAAGCCAACATCCCCTGGGCTATCAGAGCTGACTCATTTCTCCACATCTTAGCATTGGAAGCACACCCTTCCTCATAGTTCACTACTTTCCCTTCCTCTGCTAAACAGGCACTTTCTTCCTCTGTGCTCACCAACATATTGAAAGCATTCATATCTTTTCTTGGTTACAAGATCAACTACAATTATACCAGTGTACGTAGTCTATATTTTTACTCGTCTGAATGGTCTGAATCTCTATTTGTGTTATCTGTACAGATCTTAAAGAGCAATATTGCACCTAACACTTGAAAATATTTCAAAATTTTAACATATGCACCAAGAAGCAGGCATCATTAGTCAGCCCTTATCAAGCATCTGGTATCTGCTCCCTGAAGATCTGAAAGCTATCCACTATTGGAGTAACAACTTCTAACCAGAGTTCAGGCTGCAATCAATGATAGATATTGGAGAATAAGTTGAGTTTTTCTGAACTAAAACTTTTTTCTAGTAAGTAAATGTCAGAGTTTTATGAGTTCAGAATACATCAGGGATTTTAAAAGCCCTGCAGAAGTTAAGGCTGTGTAGTCCTTGAAGTGCCTTCACATGTGCGTCAGCTGGTCACCCCATAATGAGACCCCTTTCACTGAACTCTCTCCCCCTCTATAAATGGGGTGAAAGTGAAAAGGGAATTCCCCTCTAACTGACCTTGTCTTAACCCTGTAATCTCTTTTATGGTTTAGTTTTGGAGGTTGGGAGGGAGGGATATTTGTTTTGTAGTCAAAAATTAACTTAAAAATGAAATGAGGATCATGGAAGTCTTAAGAATAATCAGAGGATAAGAATATTTGCCAACAAAGGTCTGTCTAGTCAAGGCTATGATTTTTCCAGTGGTCATGTATGAATGTGAGAGTTGGACTGTGAAGAAAGCTGAGCGCCAAAGAATTGATGCTTTTGAACTGTGGTGTTGGAGAAGACTCTTGAGAGCCCCTTGGACAGCAAGGATATCCAACCAGTCCATCCTAGAGGAGATCAGTCCTGGGTGTTCATTGGAAGTACTAATGCTGAAGCTGAAACTCCAGTACTTTGGCCACCTCATGCAAAGCGTTGACTCATTGGAAAAGACCCTGATGCTGGGAGGGATTGGGGGCAGGAGGAGAAGGGGACGACAGAGGATGAGACGCCTGGATGGCATCACCAACTCGGTGGACATGAGTTTGAGTAAACTCTGGGAGTTGGTGATGGACAGGGAGGCCTGGCGTGCTGGGATTCATGGGGTTGCAAGGAGCTGGACATGACTGAATGACTGAACTGAACTGAAGAATATTTCAGGAAACTTGCCTCATTCCCCTAAGACTGAGATTAGGATGCCATTAACTATGTGGGAAAATAAAAATAAAAACCTGATCAAGGTTATCAACTACTGTACTGTTTCTGAAAATAGTCCAGCAAGTGGCCATAGAAGGAGTGGTGTGGTCTTTACTTAGGTAGTAGTGACATGAAATCCTCTTCCTTTGTTTTTTAACCGTTTTTTAAATTGAAGTATAATTTACAATGCTATGTTAGCTTCAGGTGTACAGCAAAGTGATTAAGTTATATATCCTTATATATGCATATAAGCTGATATATATATATAATATATACATAAAGTTATTAATCTATAAGCCATATATATATATATGGCTTCCCAGGTATTTCAGCTGGTAAAGAATTCACCTCCAATGCAAGAGACCCCAGTTTGATTCCCGGGTTGGAAATTTCCCTAGAGAAGGAAATGGCTACCCACTCCAACATTCTTGCCTGGAGAATCCCCATGGACAGAGGAACCTGGTGGGCTACAGTCCATGGGGTTGCAAAGAGTCAGACATAACTGATATATATTTTTTTTTTCCCCTTTAGACATCTTCCTCTTTTGAATGACCACTTTGCTTGGAGGGAAGGAGAGTTCTGTTTACTTTTGTGTACCTTACAGTCAGTGGACCGCTCCAGGGCCAAGTTTGCTTCTTATGCAGCATTAGGCAGCTTTTATAGAAAAAGAAAGGTCTGGGATTCTCAACAATGCAATTCAACACTGAGGTTTGATCCTAATTCCTTTGTACATGTGAACATTCCCCATCGTACCTGTTGTTAAGAAGTCTGAAATCCTTGGGGAGAGAAATGGGAGTAAGAGAGAAGGAGACCAGGGAGGAGGAGAGAAGAAAAATGTTGGGAAGGAGAAAGGAGGGGGAAGAGGAAGAAGGAAAAAGGAGAAAAAGAAGGTATTGGCAATGAAGGAGGAAGGAAGTCAGAGGAGGAGGAGAACAAATATGGTCTTAGAGAAGATCAGAAGTGGAATAGAAACTCCATGTGTGGCCAGAGGTTGGGGACACTGTCTATCTGTGCACACACATGTGTTCATGTGCATAGGGAGGCCTTTTGTTCCTTAGTTACACTAGAGAAAGCTTGGAGCGAGTGGGGTGGGTGAACATGTAATCAGTTCTCACGGGGTCTTATGTGCTGACTGTGGCACTTTACTCTCAGAAGCCCACAAAACGATCCTATAAAATAGACATTATTTTTATCTCCAATTTATATAGCAAGGAATCTGAAATACAGAGGGATAAGCCACTTGCCCAAGGTCCTAGAGAGAGCAAATGATAGAGCCAGGATAAAAGTCCAGTTCTTATTGACTCAGAAGCCTTTGTTCACAATTGAAGAATGACCAATGTTAATTACAGATATCATAACTGCTCTTGTCAGTCATTCTAGTTTATATTTTTTGTATGAATATAAAATTCTATGTCATATGAAATAGAGTACGTGACAGTAAAGATTTGATATGTATGGCTGTCATTGGGTGAGTTCCTAACACAGTAGCAGCTGCATCCAGGACTGCCTGGCTGGAGAACACCCCCTTCCCCTGTAACTAGTGACAGTGTTATGGGCGGTTATGTCTGAGTCTTCCTACCTTTGTGTGTCTAGGCACAACTCTCCACAATGTGGAAAGAGATGTCTCTCCCACGGACAAACACCAGTGCTTGGTCTCTCTATACCTGTCACTCGGTATCTTCCATAAAGGCTCCATCTGGAATGAGAGATCACCTAGGGGGTGTGCCTTGAAGACCTCAAAATCTCCTCACCAAATAAATATCTAACTCATCGGTTTGTTAAAATGTGAAGTTCCATAATTATCATCTTGAGCCAAGCAGGAAACACATTTTTTTTTTTTTTGTACGAGAACAAAGTAAAATTGTGAACCTCAGTTTACACAGTTCCAAAATTTCCTAACCCCTCGGCATGTACCAGGGATGCAGATGCTGGGAGCACATTACCTAAACCCAGCAATACTGTCAGTTACTAGGGATCACACTGACTAGGATTCTTAATCTGCAAGCCACACTTTCACACATTTATAATATTTTCTAAAATTTTCTCCATATGCAACCCATATCTTTTCATTTGTTACCTGTGTTCAATTCTTTAATATATTTTCTGAGATGTTGGACTATCACACAAAAGAAAACTAGGGTAAGAAATGCCAAGATGTTGCAAATGTTTAGCTGACATAATCCAAAGGTAGGGGGAAAACCTTCATGGGTATTTTCTGCAAGACTATCATTAGATCCATGTAAGCTACTCCTGTATTTAATGAGTGTCCTTGGTGAATATTCTCTTGTAACACATGACAGAAAAAAATGTGAAATAAAATTCCAAGGATGTTAAAATGTTGTGTTCAAAACATACAAGAAAATTTCTTATTTTGAAGGTAGAGAAAAGGCATACAGGCGCTTTCCTGGTGGCTCAGTGGTAAAGAATCTACCTACCAATTCAGGAGACATGGATTTCAACCCTGGTCCAGGAAGATCCCACATGAGGCAGAGCAACTAAACCTGTGCGCCACAACTATTGAAACTGTGCCCTAGAGCCGGGGAACTGCAACTATTGAGCCCGAGCGCTGCAGCTACTGAAGCCTATGCATCCTAGAGCCCATGCTCTGCAACAAGAGAAGCCACGGCAGTGAGATGCCCGAGCGCTGCAACTAGAGAGTAGACCCCGCTCTCTGCGAGGAAAAGAAACCAGAGAAGCATGCAGCAGTGAGGACCTAGCACAGTCAAAAAGAAATAAGTAAATAAAAGAACAAAAAGAAGAAAGAAAAGGCATATAATTTAGGGGCTGGAATTTTTTTAATGTTTTATTTTGGAATAATTATAGATGTGCAGATAAATTACAAAGAGAGTAGAGAGAATTCCTTTATAACCTCATCCAGTTTAGCCGAATGTTAACATTGGCAGAACCGTGTTACATTTGTCAGTGCTGAAGATGGACATACGTACAATACTATTAGCCAAACCACAGACTTTATTCAAATCACCAGTTTCTCCACTAATGCCTGTTTACTATTCCAAGATCTCTAGGATGCCACATAGCATTTCGTATCATTTTTATTAAAGCATAATCTGGTTCTTTTCAACCCGTGAAATAAATGAATGATGGACAGATAGTTGGTTTAAATGGCACCAGATCGTAAGCCTACCAGAGTGCTTGCAATTCTTGGTATTATCCTAATGAAAGAAAAACGATAGGAAAAAAATTGAAAGAGAAGGTTCAGGCATCTCATGAGGACAGAGGTAGCCCATAAGCAATGCCACCCTGCCACTTATGTGTAGAAGGATAACTCATAAATGGCATAGAAAGTTGAACAGAGTGATTTAATTAAAAAAAAAAAAAAAACCTTTACTCTGGGGGATCCTATCATAAGCTGATAATGGGATGGGATACACAGGAGGTAATAAAAAATATAACTTAGAGTTAAAAAAAAAAAAGGCCAATACGGGTGAAATGCTACTAGAAAACCATCATCTGGTTCAATATATTTTTAAAAATCATTTTAATAAATGAGCAGATGGCCCTAAGGAATTACCTTGCCAATATGATTACAGGTAATTTTATTAAATTTTCAATAACGTATCTACCAGGCCTCCTTATGTGAAACAGTCTTCCATTTATCATCTAAATGGTAACCGCATTTGCCTTCAATATTAGGAGAGTTCTTAAAAGCTGGCCAAAGTCAGCATCAAGATAAGCCAACTACCAGAAGATCTAAACCAACATGACTTAAATTTAAAAAGACAAGATGAAAGAAAAAAGATATTACAATAGAGAGGGAAACTTAAGTCCATAGGCAGAGCAGACAGAGAAATCATGGAAGGAAATTCAAACACCTGGTCTGTAGATGAAAATCTTCAGTCCAGCAGCTCCACACAGACACCCCTGTCTCACTCTTCACAGCTGGAATTGGTAGGAAAAAGTGCTCTCTCCACTTTCTCTCCACCCGAGATACAAAATTTTGATTCACAGTCAATATTCTCT